CCCAGACTCCTATGGGGAGAAACTGGACTGTCTTGCAGCGGGTCGGAAAGCAAGGGTGGCTTTCTCGCAGAGCTGCTCGCAGGGATCATTGTTGCTGTGGGGGCGCAGGACTTGGGGACGCAGAGACACAGAGTCGTGGAGACGCTCGGAATCGTGGAGAGGCTGACGACAGCCATTGCTGTTTGCTCCACCCTGGTGATTCTCTGAGACCCCGCCCCACTCAATTTACATCCCCAACCAAGCTGTGGGCAGCGGCGCAAAGGAATCACCTGCACTTTTGCAGCCTAACCTAACAAACTGCAGCTGGGTTAGAGAGCTCCAAAACTTCCAAACCCCAAACAAAGAGGAGAAATCTGCTGATATCGCTGTAGCTCCTGCTGGGTGGACTCACACAGTGGTTGACTTGGAGATCCAGGAGCCAGGGTACCACTGGTAAGATACCAGATTTCAACTCCTCACATCCATAAGGGACACGCTCAAGAAGCAGACTCAGTGAGCATCAAAGCCCCACTGAAGCAAGTTCCACCCGATAAATGTGTCTCCAGTACAGCAGTTCTTCCACTGTAGACATAGCGGGCCCTCACAGTCAGACAAAAATGCGGAGACAAAGAAACATGTCACAAATGAAAGAAATGGAGGAAAGCAAACTAATGGAGGACATAGAGTTCAAAACCACAGTTATAAGATTACTCAAGAATCTTCCACGACCCTCCGAGGAACTTAGTGAGACCTTCAAGGATCTTAATGAGAATGCCAAAAAAATGGAAAAGGACCAGTCAGAAATTAAACATACACTGACTGAAATTAAAAATAATATATAGAGATCCAACAGCAGACTAGAGGATTCCAAGAATCAAGTCAAAGATTTGAAATACGAAGAAGCAAAATACACCCATCCGGAAAAGCAAAATGAAAAAAGAATCCAAAAATATGAAGATAGTGTAAGGAGCCTCTGGGACAACTTCAAGCGTACCAACATCCGAATTATCGGGGTGCCAGAAGAAGAGAGAGAGCAAGATACTGAAAGCCTATTAGAAGAAATCATGACAGAAAACTTCCCCTACCTGATGAAAGAAATAGGCTTACAAGTCCAGGAAGCGAAGAGAACCCCAAATAAGAGGAATCCAAAGAGGACCACACCAAGACACATCATAATTAAAATGCCAAAGGCTAAAGACAAAGAGAGAATCTTAAAAGCAGCAAGAGAAAAACAGTTAGTTACCTACAAGGGTGTACCCATACGACTGTCAGCTGATTTCTCAACAGAAACCATGCAGGCCAGAAGGGAGTGGCAAGAAATATTCAAAGTGATGAATAGCAAGAACCTACAACCAAGATTACTCTACCCAGCAAAGCTATCATGTAGAATTGAAGGTCAGATAAAGAGCTACACAGACAAGAAAAAGCTTAAGGAGTTCATCACCACCAAACCAGGATTATATGAAATGCTGAAGGATATTCTTTAAGAAGAGGAAGAAGAAGAAAAAGGTAAAGATAAAAATTATGAACAACAAAGTGACAACAAATAAATATCTATCAACAAGTGAACCTAAAAATTAAGTCAGAATAAACAGGTGAATATAATAGAAGCAGGGGTATAGAAAGGGAGTGGACTGACAATTCTTGGGGGGAAGGAGGTGTAGGGGGTGCGGGAAGAGACTGGACAAAAATCTTACACCTATGGATGAGGACAGTGGCAGGGGGTAAGGACATGGGGTGGGGTGGGAACCAGGTGGAGGGTAGCTATGGGAAAAAAAAAGAGGAACTTCTGTAATAATCTGAACAATAAAGATTAATTTTAAAAAAAAGAAGTGTTGTTGTTTTTTTAAGGTAACTTCTCGAGCTATCTGCTTTGGCTCAGTGGATAGAGCTTCAGCCTGCTCACTGAAGGGTCCCAGGTTCAATTCTGATCAAGAGTACATGCTCAGGTTGCGGGCTCCATCCCCAGTTGGGGTTGTACAGAGGCAGGGGATGAACGATTCTCTCTCAACATTGATGTTTCTATCTCTCTCCCTCTCCCTTCCTCTCTGAAATCAACAAAAACATAATTTTATTGTCCACAGAAGTCTCTCCCAATTATGTTTTTTATCCCATTGTGTATAGAATTAGTCTTCATGATTCATTTTCTAATGAATTACCAAAATGTCAAAATAATAGTGCTTTATATTTCTACCTAATAGTGTCTTAAGACTTTACTTAAAAGAAATATCTTCTTTATAGCTGACTTATTGAACAACTGCTATAGGATTAAGTCAAACTACTGTAAATGCCTATGGTAATATTTTTACGAGCTCTACTGAAAGACTTTTCATTCTAGCACTCAGCAGTAATGTACATTTCACTGATGTCTAATTGGATTCGGGAATCATGGCAAACAGTAGCTTTTCACCTCACAGTACATGCATTCTTCTTCACCCCTTGCAGAGAAGTAGGGCCTTGCAATTACTTAGAGAAAATGGAAAAAGAGAAAAGTGTGTATCTCTTCACCCCTTGCAGAGAAGTAGGGCCTTGCAATTACTTAGAGAAAATGGAAAAAGAGAAAAGTGTGTATCTCTTCCTGGTGTTGGCCTTCAATGCTCAGGGTGGCCCTTCAATGCTCCCTCTTTCTCTAGCTGTACTGACCCAGTGCTGTGACAACACATGACTGAGGGAGTTAGATCCCTGAGTGGGTAATGGAGCAGCACCTGCTGGCCTACATTGCACTTTACAACAATAAGCACCTGAGATCACCACAGCATAGCAGGGCTACTCTGATCAGTGCAGGGTTCCCTTGTACCTCAATGAAAACTCTGCTAAGCAGCTGAGCATCTTTTCAAGATATGGAGATAGACAAATAGAGATATGCAAACTACAACTTTATTTTCAAACATTGTTAACAATACCATACAGACATTCATACAGAAGCATGTTTCAAAGGTTGACAATTTCACATAATGTCAAAAACAAGTATGTGACCTTTGGAGGTCATACAGTGGTTGTCAAAGGCAGGTTTACAGCCCTGGACAGGGGGCTCAGTTCATTGGAATGTCTTGTCATTCACCAAAAAGTTTGCAAGTTTGCAAGTTCGATTCCAGTCTCTCTCTCTCTCTCTCTCTCTCTCTCTCTCTCCCTTCCTTTCTCTCTATATCAATAAACTTCATCAGGTGAGAATTTAAAAAAGGAAGTATATTTATAGTTGTTAGTAGGCAAAAGTTTATCCTTGTATTACTTGTTACTAATTACTGTACATATCTGTAACACTACTGTCAACCAGCTTTAGCTCAGCCCTTACATGAAATTTTTGTAAAACATGAGACAAAATCAAGACAATTAGAATTCCCAAAAAATTACATGGGAGAGAATAAATAGTAAATAGAATGTTTTTCTTATGGAAACTTGACTTAGGAAAGTTAAATCTACAACACAGATACCATAGAACTCAGAAAATGCAGCACAAACTGCAAGGAGCCAGGGTGTGTTACCACACAAACCCAGAAGAGGAAGCCTTGGTGGGTGTGTTTCATATCTGGAAAATTCTGCTCACAATGTCAATGGTGGTGACCAGCTTGCTGTCAGGGTGGAAGCCATGCAAAATTGGTTTCAAATGTTCACACTGATGATGACTCACCACATACCAGAAGAGTATGAAAGGTTTATTACTCACATAATGAGGTTTTGGAGGAAGAGTCAGATGGATATTAGAATAGGTCCCAGAATGATTGAGAGCACAGGGAAAAGGGACTAGCTTGTAGTGTTCGTGTTGGTTACTGGGTGTTATTGGTGGAAGCCAGCTGACACTGATGGAAACTTACTTGATTGGAACTTCGCCCCTGCACCCATGGATGGGGCACCTGGACTTTCTCATCAGTTTCCCAGGTGTAAGGTCAGGGAGGAGAGAAGGAAGAGTCCTTAAAGCTTTCAACATTCAAATATCAAAACAGGAATCACGATCTTGATTATAAGTATTTGTTTCAGTAAAAATGGAGGAGAATAAGCAATACAAAATTTCCCCCAAATTGTTCATCACTTCACTCTGATGATACTGATTGTAAGAGATTCTGAAGAAGATGCAATGGAGAAATAAAGCATAAGTTTTTTTGTAAATATATTCATGAATCCATACAAGAATGGCCTGTTATTCTAATTATAAAATGAAACCTCTCCCAACTCATAGTCCAGAAAAATGCCTATCTTACATCGTCCTAAAGGGAAAAGGCCAAATGCGCCAGTCCTTGCTGATATTGCCAGCATCCATTGCTTGGGGATGGTGATATGTGAGTATTTCTGAGGAAAGATTCTTTACAGACACCTAAGAAACATTCACCTGCGCCTCCTATTTCTACCTGCCAAAAATGCCTGCCAGCATCAAATCCCTCAGAACTCAGGACAGCTGGGAAAGAAGTGTGTGCCTGAAGATTATGAAGACCAAATGATGTCCTATAGGTCACACTTTTTCTATCTCTTGAGATAATGAGACATGGATGGGCAGTTTCAGGATCCAGTGTCAAATCTACCTGAAACATGCGGATCCTTTTATGGAGGCCCAAATAGTGTGGGGGGAGAGAGCAACTCTCCTTTAATTCACATGGAAACACTGCTGGGGGCTCTAGGTTTCCAAGGCTGTTGTGGATACTTCCAATACTTCTCTTGTATTTCAGTTAACAGATTGCTTAGCCTGAACATATGGTATAAAATTTGTCTTCCATTTTCAGGTAGTTTTTCTTCAATATCCTTCTCTTCTCTAAGTAGACTGACATTAACTTTATTGAGAGCACAGGGAAAAGGGACTAGCTTGTAGTGTTCATGTTAGTTACTGGGTGCTGTTCATGTTGGTTACTGGGTGTTATTGCTGGAAGCCAGCTGACACTAATGGAAACTTACAAAGGAATACTTGTCTTTACATTCATAATATAATTCCTATTATATTATTTCAAAGGAATAATTAAGTTCTATTTCAAAGGAATACTTAAGTTCTTTACATTCATAATATAATTCCTCCCTGAACTTATCCATCTTTCTTTTCACTTCAAAAGTTTTGCAACTTGGTTTTCATGTTCCATTTTAGCATCTTCAAGGTGATTAGTCAGGAACTCAATGTAACTTCTGAGCATCCCCCTGTGACTAGCTGCAGCTTCCTCAATGGGGATCAGAGGCTGATCCTGGTGGTTGGATGACACCCTGCACTGGGCACACAGCACCTGCAGGTCCTTCTCACAGAACAGGGCCAGACCCTCATGGTGCTTCTTACACAGGGGTTCCTCTTGCCTTTTCCTCTTTCCCCTCATGCCTGGAATCTGCTGAACAATCTCAGTTATGTGACATAATTGGGTGTTCCTCTTCAAGCTCCTGCCAGGGCAGTAGTGGAGGCAGACAGGACAGGGAAAGGTGTCCTGTAGACCTTCCCAGCGCTGGTGAATGCAGGAGGGACAGAAGTTGTGCCCACACTCAGTGGTCACTGGGTCTCTCAGGTAATCCAGGCAGATGGGACAGCTGGCCTCTGCCTGGAGCTCAGCCAGGGTGGCTGCAAAGGCCATTGTGCAGAGAGGGTGTCTGTCCCAAGACAGTCTCTTCAGTCAGTGTGATCCTCCAGGAGGGAGGAAAAGTGAGAAGCTGAGGTCTGCTCAGGCCTCCCTCCCTGTGGAAGGCACTAGGAGTTTCCAAGAAGAGTTCCAGTCACCAGCTGATGTCCAGTCTTCCTGCCACCCTCTCCTGTATTTAACACCACATTGGACAAGGATGTAGAGTGCTCCTGGTCAAAAACCAAGCACAATCCAAGTCATATGTGGTTTCTGTGGACAAATGATATTGCTACTTAAAGGACCGTTCAAGCAGAAGTAACATCAGGTAAACAAAATCATTATCATGACAATATCTAAGGAGGTGTTTGCAAGGAAAACTATCATCTATTTTGCAACTCTAAAGGAATTAATCGATTTAGGGAAAATTATCATTATCAACTATCACAGAAAGAGTGAGAAACAGATATCAGAGAACTGTTGAAGGAATGACATAACATTATTTGTGAAGAAGCTTTTCCAGACAAATGAACCTAGATCTCATCAAACATGTTCCAAACCACCTATTTACAGAAAATATGAGGGGTGGAAAAACATGTGAAGAATTTCCTTCACATGTTTCAATTCTAACATGTCAACTTGATTGGTCCACTGGATAACCAGGTAGCAGATGAAACACTAGTTCTGGGTGTGACTGTGAGGAGATTTCTGGGAGAGGTTAGTATTTTAATGAGTGGATGAGCAGAGCAGATGGCCCAACCCAATGTCAGTGGTCATCATCCACTCCACTGAGGGCCTGAATAGAACAAAAGCTGGGGGAGGCTGAATTCACTCTCTGCTGGATGAATAAGCCAGCACACCCACCTCCTGTCCTGGGTGCTGCTGGTTCTCAGCCTCTCAGAATCTCTACCATCTGCTCTCAGACTCTCAGGCCTTCCTACTGCACCACCGTCTTTCCTGGGTCTCCCGATGGCAGACTGCAGACCATGGGACAGCTCAGGCTCCATAGCCTTGTGAGCCAATGCTTTTTTTTTTTTTTAATTGAGCCACTGCTTTTTAATAAATGTCTTTTTAAATTTATATTATTGGTTCTGCTTCTCTGGTAAACCTTTAATAATACACTAAATAATCAGTAAATTCCGGACTGTAATAAACTCTACTGAAAATTCTATCATATTGCTTCAACACAGATATTAAGAGAAAAGAAAAACATGGGAAGAGCCCGGCTGGTGTGGCTCAGTAGCTGAGCATACACCTATGAAACAGGAGGTTGTAAAAAGAGAAAAAACAAAACAAACAAACAAAAAATAGGTGGTTGCAGTTCAATTCCCAGTCAGGGCACATACCATGGTTTCCGGCTCCATTCCCAGTGTGGGGTGTGCAGAAGGCAGACGATTTATGATTTCCTCTCATCATTGATATTTCTATCACTCTCTCTCTCTCTCCCCTTCCTCTCTGAAATCAGTAAAAATATATTTTTAAAAACCACAGGGATGGAGGTTGTAGAAATTAAAATAGACTTCAAATCCACACTGCTCAATTATGTATAAATCTAATCCCATTTCATTTTGAAATATTTGATCATAATTCAATTGGAAGTTGGGTATTTGAGAATTAAAAAAAAAACCTGACTGATAATTATGTGCCATTGAGATATTGAATGGCATTAGAAGTATGTAAATTGTCCTGGCCCGGTGGCTCCATTCCCAATATGACAAGGTTAGATCCCAGGTCAGGGCGCCTAGAAGGAGCAAACAATGAAAGCATGACTGAATGGGACAACTCAATGTAAATTCCCCTTACTCAATCATTCTCTCTCTCTCTCTCTCTCTCTCTCTCTCTCTCTCTCTCTCTCTCTCACCTTTCCGCCTTCCTATCCTTATCAAAAGAAATTTTTTTAAGCAAAGTAATTTTAAAAAATATTTTAAGGTGCAGCCTGAAAAACCCAACCCTAGCAGGCAAGTATCAGCCACAGGGGATCCTCTGCCCCTCGGGGAGGGGGGGGGGGGATTTAACATACAACTATGTAAATTAAGAGTCACTTTTAGAAATATGTAATAAAAAATTAGAAAGTAAAACCATAGCTATGACCTGCACAGAAATGGGGAACGGTTGGTACAACTATAGGTATAAGTGCAAAAAGATTAGTTATACCATATGGTTTCTTTTTCTCTCCAATTCTGGATACCTAGAATATTCTAAACTTAATTTTTTAAATTGACCTTTTGAATTATATTTCAGTGCTTCTCTGCTCTCTTCTAGCCAGAAATTTTTCTCCTACTCCCTTCCTTAGGCTTCATCCATGTCCCTTCATCTCAGAGTTCTCAGATCCATCCATCTCCTTTCTTTCTCATAGTTGTTTTAAACTGGTCCCCTTTTTCCTCCACTTCAAATCCATCATCTTCTTCCCTTTTCTCACTTCCCATTCCCATCCAACAAATCTCTTCTATGGAGATAAACTGAGATTAAGGAAATACCAAGGTTGGCATTAGAGTTCCATCTGCGTGTAGGTTATGTGGGCTGGATTTCAGGTCTGAACTGCCTGCCTGTGTCCTGGGGATGGGTTTTTGGTCCCCTATTCTTTCAGAGACACATGGAACAAGGAAAATAACCCTCAGTTTCCCTGTCAGGTTGGAGTCAGCATACACTTCAATTTAGGTAAACCTCTTGGAACCTCTCGTTTAAAAAATAAGAATTTATCAGTAGACACACCTGACATTCTGGAAACCAATTCCACACAAGGTTTCAGACCATCACCTCTGGGCACTTTATCACACATCCATATTAGTTACCTCTTAGGTCAGATGGAGGTCACAGTAACTGTATTTTTACCAAGTACTTAGATGATTTAGGTTCAGCTCACATAAAAACTCCCCCAATAATAAAGACATATGCCGTATATGTACCTGAATCCAAGTTAGGATTGGCCTGCCAGTTGAGGTCCACGTCCTGCTGGAGCAACAACATAGGAATCCAAGGCTCTCACAGAGCTCACACTTCCTGTGCGCACATACCCAGGATTCCCAGCTTTCCTAGGGCCAGTCTGTGGACTGAGTCTCCAGAAAGGGTCTGGGATGCGTTTTGTACCAGTTGTGAAGTTAGAGCTGTGACCCTGGCATCTATATACACTGCTAGGAGGGTGGAACTATGAGGACTTCCCTCATCAGAATGGTGGCTCTGCCCTGGAGGAGGGGCATGTGGGGCTTAGCAGCTGTTCAGAGATGTGGGTGGATGGGAGGGGGTGGATCTCCCTTGATATAATCAGCTCAGCAGAGGCCTGCAGCTCTTCATTTGCATGATCTACTCTGGACTTTTGGGATTCCCAGACCACACTCTCAACACCCTTTAATCCCATCTCTGCTGATGAAAAAATAGCTGAAGGCCAAGGGAGGCCCATTTCTTTTCTCACCTTGGGATGTGAGAAGCCCACCAGTTTCACCCCCTGTCATCTCCAGCACTCTGCAGTCCTGCCCTCTCTCTCCACACTCAGGGCATGGTACCCTTCAGCCACAGCACTTCTGTGCAGGCAGGTTGGTCCGTGGCAGCGCTGTGCCCCTTATATATTGTTAACTCCCTTGTACTGGCATTCTCTTTTCAAATCCCAGCCTAATTTTTACTTTCATTGAGAGGCATTCTTTGAGCTCTAAAATTCTTTATCAATAAATTGTGTTATATTGCTTATTAGGGAATTTGGTTTTTATACTGACTGCCAAAAATTTACCGAGTTTCTTTTTAAAAACTTATTTTCAATTACGGTTGACACCATCCTCATTCCTTAAAAATTAAACATTTGCTGAGTTGGTGTGCCTCAGTGGCTGAGCATGGACTTATGAACCTGGAGGTCAAAGTACATTTCCGGGTGATGGCACATAACTGGGTTTCCAATTTGATCTCAATGGGGGGCATGCAGGAGGCAGCCTTTCCATGATTCTCTCTCATCCTTGATGTTTCTATCTCTCTCTCCCTTTCCCTTCCTCTCTGAAATCAATAAAATATATTTTAACAAAAATTCAAATATTTATTATATGCTACCAATCTATAAAAGAGTGATTCCTATGAAGCAAAAAAATAGTGCAGAAACAATGGATTCATTTCAATCTCATTGCCAAAAAGAAAGTCTTTAAGCAAAGAGACGACCTATCTAATAAAAGACACAAAGAGTAATTGACCGTACCTTCGCTACGCTTCCCATTGGCTAATCAGGGTGATATGCAAATTAACCGCCAACCAAGATGGCGACCGGCAGCCACGCAGCTGAAGTGAGCAGGAGACTTGCTTGCTCCAGTGATGGAGGAAGCCAAGGTTCCCTGCCTGCTGCGGCCTGGCTCTGAGCTCCGAAAGCAACAAAGTTTCAATTATAGAAGCTAAAAAAAACCCCAGATACCTGCTTTCAGCAGGCCATGGCCTCAGAGCTGGAGCCGGCTCTCAGGTCCAGTGACAGCAACGAAGTTTCAATTATAGAAGGTAAATAAATCCCAGAATAAAAAAAAAAAAAGAAAAAAAGGAGAGGCTGGGAGCTTCAGTTGCCAGCCAGCCTGAAAACGGCCCTCAGCCCCTCACCCAGGCTGGCCAGGCACCCCAATGGGGACCCCCACCCTAAAGGGGGTGTGACTAGCTACAAATAGCCATCAGCCCCTCACTCAGGCGGGACCCCCACCCTGATCCAGGACACCCTTCAGGGCAAACCAGCCGGCCACCAGGCCTCTATCCTATATAGTAAAAGGGTAATATGAAAACTGACCCTAACAGCAATAGGACTGGGAATGACTGGTCACTATGACACACACTGACCACCAGGGGGCAGACGCTCAATGCAGGAGCTGCCCCCTGGTGGTCAGTGCGCTCCCACATGGAGGAGCTCTGCTCAGCCACAAGCCAGGCTGATGGCTGCCAGTACAGCTGTGGTGGTAGGAGCCTCTCCTGCCTCCTCAGCAGCGCTAAGGATGTCTGACTGCAGCTTAGGTCTGCTCCCCGCTGGCAAGTGGACATCCTCTGAGGGCTGCCAGAGGGATGTCTGA